CATTATTTAGTTTGTTAATGCATTCATCCTTTAGTCGTGTCCTCTCGATCGTCTCCTTTCGTTGTGATGTCGATTACTATTTTAATACCATTACCAGTAGTATTCCATACGTTTATCCAGTACTCTTTTTAATTGAAGAAATACTATTTCCAGTCACCAATATTCTACTGTGCCACTTCATTCGAATTTCTGTTTCATTTTCAACGTCAGTCGCTTTTTACATTTTTCGATCGTAACTCACATCTTTTTGTCAGCCTCAGTTATAGTTGTTCAATAATATTTTTGTTGTTACTGACTGACTGAAAAAAGTTCAACTTCTATTCTAGTGCACCCCAAAACGCTTATTGCAACTATCACGTTACAAACTGAAACCAAAATCTTTTGCTAATATTAATTTGTTGTTGTGAATCTGGTTGCGGTTTTATCGACAATATGTATCTTGCTTGGGATGAGTTGATTAAATGAAATCAAATTGTTTCTCAGCTGAACGTTAATTTCATTCATTAGTTGCATGACCATCGGAACGAATAAACAGAAAGCGTTGAGTTGAAGAAATGAGGCAAAAGGCTTCCAAGAGTGTTTCTTTTCTGTGTTAGAAAGAACTGCAAAAAGTAAGTTATTTTGGATTTTGCGTTTGTTTGCGTGTGCAGATTGTTTTGTTCGCTTCTTTAGGATAGTTTGCGAATAGTAACGTCAACGGTAGAATCAATCACAGATGACGGCTAATTAGACAAATGATGGCTGCTAATTTTAAAAAACCGTGCTTGTAAATGTGCAATTGACATGCGAATTGTTGTTGATTATCTTCAGCATTAGCATCATGTACTTCAACTGAATTTGTTGTCTAAAGTTCATCTGTATAAAGTCCTGTGGCAGTCGAATTTCATTCCATTCCCTTTAATTAGTCATCTTTTATGATTGCATTCATTCATGAAACAATTTATTAACAATCGAAACAGTACTACTCTTCTTCTAAACAAGGTTTTTATATTCAAAACTTATTTGATGCATTTCCTTTATTCTCACTTCATCAATTCGACAAGATGTTGCTGGCGAATATATTGAATTGCTTCATTTGAAAGTATCATTTTTAGTCGTTTTTCTCGTTCGTTCGTTTGATAGTGATATGGGATGGATGCACGATTAAATGTAGCATAGCAAGAAAATCAAAAATATCGCAGCAAAATAATTATTGAGACATTGTTTCCAGGCTTTTAACAATGATCACAACGTTGTTATCACTCGTTAATGATCTTTTTTTTGTAGTCTGATCAACTAATTTTTCAGTCGGTTATCATGATTAGTTCATACTGTTGAGGTAAACCGATTAAAATCGGTTCGTAGAAGTAACTCAATTATGATCAGCTCTTTGAAAATTTTTTCAACGAGGAAGTTCAATTCTAGAATGAAAAATAACATTCGTTCGATTGCTTTCATATAATATGTTTGATAGTGTTCATTCATAGGTTTGAAGTTGAATTTGAGAAGTAAATTTGAATGAGATGAAGTAAATAAATTGAATCAATTTGATTAATAAGCATGAAATTTGTGGCAAGAGCAAATGAATTCAAGAAGTGCTCGATTGAGTGAATAAATGAATTGCAAATAAATGCTCGATGAATAGAAGACGACTAACGGATACATGCAAACATCCTAAATTGTTAGAAGTGCTCTCTAATTGACTTAGGCAGTCTTGCGCTTTATCAGGGTTTCTCAACCGGAGGTGCTCACAACCTAAAGGGTGCGAGATGGTACTCCAGGGGTGCGAAATATCGTTTTATTTTTTATAAATTAAAATAGACGAGCACGGATTTCAACTCATACATGTGTGTGTAAAGTAGACGAGAGATGTATATAGTTTTGAAATTGCTTGAACGTACTCTGATGGTAGGTAGTATACTTATCTAAACTAGAAACACTCATTTTGTGGATGAGAGATACAGGGTGCATGCTATGAGGGGTGCGACCACATCTTAAAAGTTTCCAGGGGTACGGAGGGGGGGGTTGGTTGGAAGGTTGAGAACCACTGTGCTATATGGATGATCGATGTATGCACGCTAACTGCTAAATGAAACTTTCGATAGTTGTGGACTGGATGCATGCACACTGCCTACTTAGTGGTTGTTGTTGAGTGGTTGTCATCAGCTAAGTACTCTTCTTCTCCTCATCGCTTAATTCAAATCAATATTCATACCTACCTTGTTTGGCCTCGGGCCTAGCAATCTACTAGTGGACCGCCTGTGAACTAATCGCATCGCTTCATAGTTCATAATCAATATAACCGTTGAAGCTGAGGTGCACATACCTAATTAGGCATCAAGTGGCTGCTTCTCAAGCACACTACCACTTTGTTGTGGCCATTTAGCATTTGTCAACTCGAAATGTTTATAGCATTGCCGGTAAACGTTTGATCCTCTTCAGTAATCTTTTCTTATCCACTTAACTATGATGTGATATTTCGTAGCAGTGCAAATTGCATGATGCACAAATATGATGATATAAGTTAGTAAGCATTCAATGATATTATTTTTCGATAGTGGAAATACTGCGATTGACACTAACTTTGCAAGTTGGTTTTTTTGAAAAATAGGAAGAAAACTGCAAATTGATTCAAGTGGATTTGAGTTGAACTTTTTGTTAAGTGATTCATCAGGCTGATCAAAAAATTTCGGGGATCATCCCAATCGCACCATTCCAGACCAGCATTTATAACTTTTCTACAATGTACTCATTTATGTCTATCGAGATTTGCACTACAACAGGGCATTGAGTGAATTGAACAAAGGAAAAGAATGTCGTCAAAGTATTCAGCACTCGTAACTTTTCAATGAATTACTAACAATAAGTTATGGGCAGCTACAGTATCAACTACGCATACAGTTATCACTAACGATTTGCTTTTTTCCACATGCGGCTATTTGATTGTATTTCGATTGAATTTCTTCTTTGCAAATGTTACGAATAATGCTCTGATTGTTTATTCCTCGAATGTCTTTCAAAAACATCAGAAAATTTAGATGCCAAAATCTTGTGCAAATTGTGGTGCAACCCGTCGGAGAGGTACAGAAACGTCAACGAAAAGCGGATTGCTGGTAAGTGATCGACTGATTATTGGTACTCTGAAAAGTGGTGGTGGTGGTGGTTCGAACATAATTCGTTGTTGTATATTGCACAAAAAAGGTGATGAACGTGGTGACCATGAACATGAGCATGTTCATATGAAGATATCGTTTTCATTTATTTGAACAAATGCAATACGTTGATGGCTCTAATTGTTGAGGTATGTAGTGAATGTAAAGCATTCGGACGTAATAAACTACCTGATGTGTTTCGATGTCATTTTTGCTCATTTGCCTGCTTATATATGGTTTGGTTTGATCACGTTAACGCCTATCACCGACGTGTGCAGAATATTCGTCAACTCGAGAGACTTCTACGAGCGCCACAAACGCGATTAAGACCTGAGTCATGTACACTCAATTAACAGAGTGCAAATTGTATATATTCTTCTTCTAAAATACTTACATTTGAACTGAATTCGCATAGTTTATTGTGTTTGTTTCTTTTTACTGTCAAGATTCAATTGTTACCTGACACAGTGTGTTGTAATAATGTTATCTGATATCGTTTCATTGTTCGAGATAGTATTTGAATGTGTTACTGTTATCTTGTTTTGGATTTTATCGGTTAACATATCAGTGTATATTTTCGATTTCCAACTATCATACACGATCCTCGTTTTTCTAACTCACTCAGAATCCTGAAGCAAAGACCTGCTTTTAAAGGCCACATATTTTTACAATGAATTTCAGTTTCAGAATGAGGCATTACTTCAGCCCAGCTTCGGTAGATCAAACCAATATTCAAAATTTTATGCAACACTTGCAAACAGTTCTCATCGTTTTCGAACGGAACACATACTGTTCGTCGACGATGAATGGACGATATCTGAAGTAAAAGACATCATATGCCTCCCTAAATAACTGCTAGAATAGAATCGTGAGCAAAAAAAATTTCATATCTGTAAGAGAAGTTTCTAATGTGCGTCTCATTTGTTATTGTGTACTATTTCAAAGTCAAATTGTTTAACGTGTTTATAAAACAAAGCAATCAGCTTCGAATTAAGAGGTTGAGGCAACGGAATGCATATCATCATTTGATAGTTATTTACTTGTTCGTTAGCTAGCAATCTTATGATTAGTATAATTTCAATTTCCAGTGCATCATCAGTCAACAATAAGCAATTTTCCATCAATTTAATCACTGCACAGAATCGATCAGAATCAATCATGAAAAAACGCTCAAATAAAATTAAAAATCCATTGCACAGCAATGTGTCCTGGACAAGCATTGTAATGTGCGTCACGACCTGCAATGCTAATGCTTTCTGGTGTGTCTGTCTGAAATATTACTCTTCCATTGCCAATAATTTCTTCCAAATGTTGCATTCGCTTATTCGTATTGAATTGAATGTATTATCTCGCGATAAATATGAATGAACACAAGAAATGTGCTCATTTCGTGAGCCGATACGCATCTATCGTCATTTATTCAGCAATTACAATTACATCTCCCAACGAGTTTATGCCTTTCCATTCTCACCAATATCACATTCTTCTTTGGTCATTTAATACTTTAATATTCAATACACTTAATACTGCAACGTGGTTAATCAATACTATAATATTAAACGTTTTTATCGCGATTATTTAGTAATTGAAGAAATATGCAAACAATGTGCACGGAAACGTAAGCATTGTGTTAAGTTAAGTCACTATGATCTCCTTTAACTCCTTCTAAACTAGGCTTGCAAATTCCATCGAAAGCTCCATTTGGTCCTAATTCTCGTTTAAATCTGCGCTCTTTTCGTCCTCCTTTTAGTCCACGTTGACCACTTCAGCCATCTTCACCAGCTTCTCGCTTCCTCCAAAACACCGTTATTACCCTTCAATCTCTTGAGTCCTGAAATGTTTTCAATAAACTGACTAACACCACGCTGAAGTGCTCAGCAAAATCAACTAGTGTGAAATTGTAAAAGTTAAACGCATAAGTTAGTTCACATTTACGAGGTGAGCGATGTATCTATCGTATCGTCGAAGCAATCCACACAACAAACTCGATAAAACAACCACTTCAATGTATGCGAAGATGAGCTACTAGTGTCTAGCCAGGGTAAGCCTATCTCACCCGGTGGTCCGTCCACTCCTTCACCACCTGCTCTTCCAGGTTCATCTCGCTAGCCATCATGTCTCACAATCAGATGATCCCTAATGTAAAAATGATTATTCTCTTAAGTGTTCGTTCGGTTGCAACTACCGTATTAGAAGTGTG